GGTAGCATAGTATATCACCCTGAAAGGTGCAACCAATTTAGGGAGAGCCATTTCGACTGCAGGCTGACCTTTGACCCTTGCTGGAAGTGCTTGTGCCGCCCATTTCTTTAGTGTGTGTATGTGTGTACATTCACAATCTCGGTAAACTTCCTCTCCTGCATAGCAGCATATTAAAACAAAGCACATACTTACTAGGTTGCTACGCTCACTCAACACTCATTACCTCCAGAAACAGACACGCTAGTAATTATAGCGTGCATGTGTCTAATTTCCTTGCCGAGTGCATAATAAACAAAACACAATATCAGACACAAAGCTTACTAGTACACACAATTCTTCCAGACAGACACACTTTCCACACAGGCAAAAACCACAAAAAATGAAGGACATCACACAAAGCATGCAACTGGAACATTCAAAAAAAAAAAAGTGAGACTCTGTGCGTGTTAAAAAAAATAAGATGAGCTTCAGAGGCCAAGACTCCTCAATGGGGGTGAGCCAACTGACAGACATGCAAACCCCACCCATGCTGTGTGCTTGCGCTATCAGAGGAAGAAATCGCTTCGGCAGGCTTGACATCTGACAAAACGTCTCCCCTAATTTAAAGCAGTCTTGATGGAACAATATAGTCTGGCTACAATTCTTAGATTTTGGTGGGCGTAACTACCATCGACCTTAAGGATGCATCCCTAAAGTATTCAGAGATGTCAACTGATCAATATTGATATTTAAATGACTTCACAATTTCCCCCCAAAACCGAACACTTGGTTACATCCTTCAATCTAATGGAGCTTTAATGCAAAATTCTGCATGTACAAGCAGATGCATGTAAATTCATGAATGCTAATCACGCCCTTCTAGCAAAAGCTCGATAAAAAATAAGCAAGTCATGACATTTTTGCCTAATTGGATCACTTTCTCAAGGTGTGAACTTCTCAGAAGAGATGTTTGTTTCACATTCGAGTCTGTACGTGCCACAAAAAGAGGGCGTAGATCGGGTGAGCGGTCACAGCAGGTGGGGGCAGCAAGATTTTGAGTGGAAATTAACCTGGAAATCTGATGTGACAAAGCATCTTGCGACACGCACCACTGTGTCTCGTCAAAACATCTCTCGCCATTTAAATGCATCTGAATTCATAAAGCATCAGAATTCATAAGACAATGCAAGACCCAATTAATGGGATAGTCCACCCAAAAATATAAATTCTGTCAGCACTTACTCACCTTTATGTCGCACTAAACCTGCATGACTTATTTTATATTGCGGAACACAAAAGATGACAAGGTAACACTTTACAAAAAGGTCTCATTAGTTAATGCATAACTAACATACATTTGCTACAGTATTTAGCTACAGCAGTTCATGTCAGCTCAGGTTCATTAATTAATATTAACAGATACAACTTTTGATTTGAATAATGTATTAGTAAATGTTGAAATCAACAGCAACTAAGATTAATAAATGCTTTAGAAGTATTACTCGTTAGGTCATGTTAACTAATGTAGCTAACTTATGTTAACAAATGGAACCTCATTGTACGTGTTACTAAAGATATTTTGAAAAACAATAAAATTGGAGCCTACTGACTTATATTGTACACTCTCAGAAAAAAGGTACAAAAGCTGTCACTGGGGTGGTACCCTTTCAAAAGTTACTAATATGTACCATTTAGGTACTAATATGTAAACCTTAGTTACTGATAGGTATGTTCCTTTAAGGTACTAATATGCGCCATTAAGGGGTAAATATGGTACAAAGGTAGACCTTTTGAAAGGTTACCGCTCCATTCACAGCTTTTGTACCTTTTGTCTGTGCATATATGAACCAGAAAAGACACTTTTTAAAATATCTTCCATGTTCTACAGATGAAGCAAAGTCATCAAGTGATTAAATGCTGACAGAATTATCAAATATCCCTTTAATTACCACATCCTTGCAAAAGCTTGATTAAAAAAGCAAGCCATTTTTGACTTAAGTTCTCATAAGGTAAGATCACATTTGCGTCACGTCACACAAAGCAGATCGGGCACAGATTGGTGGGGTTGTCGCAGCAGGTGAGACTGTGCCATGCTAACGCAGGTGTCGGGGTGGAAATAAACCTGGAAATTCGGTGCGAGACAAAGACAAAGCATCTCGCAACACGCATCATGTCTGGTGGAGATGGGCACATCGCGGAGCTGCCGCTGATTATTACAGCGTTGGCTCTTTGAATGCGTACTGAGAGTGAGAGTGACTGGGATTTACAAGTCTCTTTGATGCCAGGCATGAAAGTGTCAGTACACCAAGTGTGTGTGTGTGTGTGAGCGTGCGAGAGTGAGAGAGTTTGTGAGTGTGTGTGTGTGCCTGGGGTGTGCAGTGGTTAATCACCACCTCTGTGCGGAGGGAGGGTGGGCAAGTTCTCATTTCCATACTCTACGCCCAAGCAGGAGGGGGTGATACTTTGAGAAATATGGAACTAGAGAGAGAGAAGGTTGGGAAAATTGAAAAAAAGAAGAGAAAGGCAAAAAAACAACAGAGAACGCGTCTGGCTGTTTGAAGAACACAAAGCAGGAGTGTGATCAAATACGCCGATTAGTAAAGTAACCTCGTGCATATTTCATCGCTGACAGTTGTATGCTATTCAGGCTCCTAATATTTTATAGAAAAGACTCGCCGCTTCGTATTTACTCAATCTTTTCTCCCTCCCGCCGCGCCAACTCAACTATCTTCATATCTCTGTTGCAATCTGTCCTCTGTTTCCAGCAAAGCCTCCTCTCCTCATCGCTGCTTTATACTCTCCAACTGAGCTCATGAATATTTCACGCATATTTCACACACGCTGCTAGATATCTGATATCATCAGGCCGTTTCGGCAAGGAGAGCAAGAGTTTAGCTCTGCCGTTTAGGTCCTGCAGGAATTTTTGCTGGAGAAAACACGGCTGCGGTCGAACCAAGCGAGTCAGGCAACCAATCATCTAAGGCTGCCTGTAATTATCACCTCTCTGAACAAACAAATATGATGAAATCTTATTTTGATGGTAATGAGCCGTAATGGCCACAATGGGAGATATAATGATGCTCAAGCAAGCTTTTATCACAGACGAACTCTGTGAATCTGCAGGAAAATGACACGGAGTGGCTCTTTTGAATGCAACCTACAGGTAATCACAGTAAACCTTTTTCTAAAAAAGTGCCGTTTCAATTTTACGCTGATTGAATTCAACAGTTCTGGCAGGTTAGGAAGGTGCACATCTATATTCATAAGCTGGATGAGTGTGAGAAGTGCGTCTACTCTCTGTGAATTTTAAAAACAGTTCTGGAACCATCAACCGTATGATGATGATGATTATTAGGTTTCACCCTCGGCTCTCATTTTCACACCGGCAGACTCTCTCACTTCGTGAGCGGCCCACACTGCTTTCATCACCACCTTGACAAGCATCTGCGTGCATAAAAATGCAACATTAATTATTTGATGGGGGCAGATAAACACGCTCACTCCAGTGAAACCGACAGGAAGGGAGCTGCCACTAAATTCACGGGCTACTTCGTACATTACACACCCTATTTAATAGCTGTTTTAGAGGCTGAAAACAACAACAACCAAAAAACACAGCTGTATGCTTGTCTGCCCAGCTCAGGGAGCATACTAATGATTTTGAATGAAGGTTCCCTAAAGCGTTTACAAGCCAAACATTTAGCAAGATATGGGCCGTCTTTGAAGAGGGAAAGAAAATGCAAATTCGCAGCAGTGCAATTTCAAATTAGAGACTAAAGGGAGGAAAAACTTGTTTGTGTGTACCGGGTGCATGAAACAATAAAAGAATGTCAACACGAGCAGCAAATTACACCCCCCATATGCTGAACGCAAGGTGAAAACCCACCAGTCCTCAGGGACTAAAAGGGAGGAGGCGTTTAGAAAGGAGACAATGGAGTCATAACAATGGGGGGAGCGCATGAAAAAAGAAAGAGAGGGTGAAAAGAGATGTTCAGGTTTCATGAAAGTTGGTACGGCTCGCTGAAAAGACACAATCCCGAACGTGACTCCTAGAGTGGCACGCCACACCTCCCGGAGGAATAGTACAATAACCGCAAGCTGCTGATACAGAGGCTGGAAAAACCACTGAGTAAATGTGTGATTAAACATCTAGTTATCTACCAATTAAGCCTGAATACATTAGATCCACTCCACAACAGGTTAGCGTGGCATTTGAGGTCTTTGACTAGTCACCTTGAGAATAGGATGTCAACGCAGCTGTCTGATAATGTTGTTTCAGATGCACTGACATTCATGTGACGTTATTTATCTACAGTGACAGACTAAATCAGTCCCATTAAAGTTTTATAAACCGAGCTGAATGAAAAGGATTAAAAAAAAATGAAAGGCATTAAAGAACAAATGTAATTTAGACCGCAATTCTCAGTTAGTTAAAAAAGGTTTGCAAACTACATTTAAATAGCAGACACTTAAAAAAAAAAAAAAGATGAAAACCATTTTGCTTTTCATGTTTCTTTTCTATCAAAGTGAAGCTTGTTTGAGCTTGAAATAGAATGCAAGAGCAAAAATCAATGAATACTCTCAGAGGTCTGTCCCAGAGCGCAGGCAACCTTCTGAAAGGTTATGAAATATAAACAGAACATACTGAACAACGAGCTGGACACAAAGATGCATTATGTTCAGTGCTCTGATGGTAAGTTATGAAATGCTAAATGAGATCCCTGTCAGGTAAATGAAAACAATACATTATTCCTAATCACATTAGCCTAACTTACTTAATTTAACGAAGCCAAGATCATAAGAACTTCTCCACTGACATTCACAATAACTTAATGTAACATAACCCTAAACATTTCCCTCAAAAACAAAGTCATTTTTACCTGAAATGCACTTATTTGAATCTGTAAACAGCAAAAGATGATGAAGTGTTTTTCAAAGCATCTACAGATGAACTAATTCAGCACTCAGTATCCAAAAACGCAAAAACACCCATAAGTTTCTCAGCGAACTGTGCTACTCACTTCATTCAGCGGCACTGCGTTTCATCCCCTTTGAAGTCGAAGCGAAAGTCTCGTTAATTTTTAAAACAACAACACAAGCGTTTGAAAGTGAACCCGGTAAATCCCATTATGCGTGTGCTACATTGTTGTGAAGCGGCTCAGACTCCAGCGAGCAGCGCGAGCGGCTCTGGGGGGAGTGGGCGGGGCTTTCCGAACGTCATGAAACAGTTTCAATGAAGTGCTTGTGGAGTGGGCGGGGCTTTCCCTTACGTAGGGGAGGTACTACAGGTGAACAGATAGACTATAAACATTTTGCTTTTATATTAGCATTTTAGATTTCAGACATGACTGCCTTTTTGTTGATGATGAACCAATAAAAAGCATTTTATTTTATGATCTTATTTATGATTATATGTATAATTATTATTTGTATCAACATTACTTACTTTTTCCCCCTCACGGTTTTTATTGTGCTTATTGATACTCTGTATTAATGTGCTTTCCTTTTCATTAAAGGTGCTCTAATCGTCTTCAGGAGTATCGCACATAATGACACCTTATTTTCTGACAGATATCATTGAAATGATTATAATAATGAGTGATATTTTGCCAATTAGAAAATGTTACCAATCAAAAACACTCTGTGCTTGTCAATCAATTCAAGGGCAGGGGGGAGAGGGCTTTTGTCTGAAGTTAGCAAAATGGCTGAAATCAAAATGATTAACAGCTCCTTTGACACAGTGCAAACAGAACTTTTTTTGCATTCTGATTGAATCTTAAAATATGCAAATTACGATAAGTAAATAATAATACAAATCCGCATTTATCAAAAGTGATGTAGAGCCCACAGACACCATCACAACATTTTTCAAAAGATTTATTTTACAACATTTAGGAAAACATTTGCATATGAACATGCATTTTTTTTCAAAAACCCATTTAAGAAATATGATAATTATCTTTTAAGAAGCAATATTTAAAATTAGTGGTCTGTGCATGTAAAAATATATGGATCATCAGTATATGTCATAACATTACTAACTGTTTCTTAAATATAGGCTGCTTACCAATTCTGATGTAATTAATTTTTGTGACATTTCAGCTAATTCCATAATTTAGCTAATTAACTAATTCCCTAGACCTCTAAAGGTCCATAACATCAAGTAACATGTCGTAGAGAATCAAAATTAAATCCAACTAAAATTTTTAATCCACCCAAAAATCACCACTTAAAGAGTTAGTTCACCCAAAAATTTTAATTAGGCTGTGTTTTACTCACCCCCGATGCATCCTAGGTGTATATGACTTTCTTCTTTCAGACGAATCCAGTCGGAGTTATATTAAAAATGGTCTTTGATCTTTCAAGCTCTATCGTTGTACTCAGCGGGTGTTGCATTGCTTCAGTCCAAAAGACGTGAAATAAAAAGCACCCTTCCACAAAAAAAAAATAAAAAGTGTCTCACACGGCTCCGGGGGGTGAACAAAGGCCTCCTGTAGCGAATCGATGCGTTTTTGTAAGAAAAATATCCATATTCAAAACGTAATAATCACTTGAATCTAGCTTGCGCTCACTGTTGACGTATGAGGTCAGCTTTGCGCATGCGCCGCTCAGAAGTGACGCACGCGGAGAGATCGAAACAAAACAACGGTCACTAATTAGAAGTACAAAACGAGGATTTGTAAAGAAGAATGTCGGAGGATTTGCGATATAAGCCAAGAGGTGACTTGCTTTCCTTTGCTAAAATAAAGTAAGGAAACTTTGCTTCTTTTGCTCCTGTTAACAAACGTTGGTTTTCACGAGACTCACCGGCGCATGCGCAATTTTTTATATAACTCCGACTGGATTCGTCTGAAAGAAGAAAGTCATATACACCTAGGATGCATCGGGGGTGAGTAAAACACAGCCTAATTTTTATTTTTGGGTGAACTAACTCTTTAAGCCTGCAGTACCTCCCCTTAATATTTAATGCTGGCATTCAGGCATGAACTGAAGCACGCTGCATTTAAAGGCGCATGTCGGGTGGATTTGGGGTGTTGCGGGGGGAGGCAGAGACACGCCTCTCCTCGCCGCAGCTGGAGAGAGCAGATGGGGTGTGACACCCGTGTGTTTCTGTTGCACCAGGTTTTGACACGGATACTGTCGGGTTCACACAATACCAATTGAAACAAATGCAGATCTCTCAAACGCACCGCCTTTAATAGATTCTTCGCCATCCGCTGGGCTTCATTTGTCAAATGTCACCCGGCTGTGACATTTCCCACGGTGTCAACCTACAAGTGCATTAAAAAAGGGATGCATTTTAAAGATACCAAGGGAAGAATCATAAGTGCAACATACACACATGCACCTTTCTACAAATTGTTTCAGTACCTTTTTTCCATCAAGAAGAAATCAACTAGAATCAGCTGTGAATTGAAACTGGACCTTGTATAATTTTGTATTACATAACTGTAATGCAATACTGTATGTATGTGTGTGTGTGTGTATGTCTGTACATGTGTATATATATGCGCGCGTGTGTGTATGTGTGTGTGTGTGAGAGAGAGAGAGAGAGAGTGTGTGTATTTTTTTTTATACAGTATTTACAAACTTTTTTTGTCCATATTTACTGTGGTCTTTTTAGTCTTTGTGACCGTCTACGACATACGTCACTGTAATTCCCTGAAAGAACTGGGTTCTTTATCCATTGCTATGAAATGTGCTAAAATTACAATAAAGTTGACTTATTGGTGTTATTTTGAATTAATATCTTTATTAATATTTTTAATTCGTTTTCATTTTTATATTTTCCAATTTAATTGAAATTGTATTCGTTTTAGTAATTTTTATATTATTTTTGTTAGTTTTTATTTTTAAATGTCTATATATTTTTTATTCATTTTTATCTAATATTTACTTTATTTTAGTACGTCAAGTTAAACTAAATGAAAATGAGAATAAAATATTCTTTTATTTATTTATATATTTATATTTTTCGCTTTCATTACAATTTTAATGTTTTTCTCATTTTATTGTGCGTTGTCATTTATATTATTATTATTTTTTAAACATACATCTGTTTTTTTATTTCCATTTTAATTATTTTAGTACATTGAGGCAAAGCTGAATTGTAATACGGTTACGTTTTTTATATTTTCTTTTTTCATTTTTAGTTAAAATGTTCTTTATTTAGTCTTTATTCTGTCATTCTTTTATCATTATTTATGTGTCTATATAGTTAGTTTTTATTAATTACTTTTAGTTTTTTAGCACAAGTTAAAATAAATGAATAAGAAATGTTGCCATGGCAACCGGCTCAAATAAAATAAGTTACATTATTTTATTTCACTCAGTTTATTTTTTTGTATTTATGGTTTTCGTTTTCGTTAACTATAACAACCCTGCCTCACACAAAAGCACAAAATCTCCTTGACACAGCAAAGAAATTATGACGGCTCATTGTATTTAGTCCGAGCCAGAGAAGAAAGCGATAGAAAGAGCGAGAGAGTCAGTGAAGGGGAGAGAGTTGAGAGAGAAGGGCTCCCCAGCGGGTTTACTGATGAGCAGGCATGCGGGGAGACTGGGGGGCTCAGCTGGGGCTGTTTGCCTAGCAGTGAACACCCGTCATCAAGGAGCTCATAAAATATTAATCCAGCACACAAAGACGGGAAGAAGACGGACAGAGTGACCAGAGAAAGACGGTGCGAGAGGGAGAGAGACTGATGCAGGCTGAGCGTAATGAATGGACCGAGAGGGTGGGAGGGGGCCGTGGGGTGAAAGGGTGACATGCAGTAATTGGGGGGAAATCTGCGCGGCGGTGGGTGGAAACCATTATTGGCAGGTGGAACAAAAATGGAAGCATCCCTGAAATAATGAAGCGAGGGGGAGGAGAGCAAGGAGGAGATGCGGCGAGCAATAAGATGAGAATTGGCACTCATTTAATTACAATTGCTTTAAAATAAAACTGTTCTCATGACAATGGCACGGAATTAGAAATAGCAGCGCACTTCCGACTGCGGAGGGCCGAGTTTGGAGGAATGGGCTCGGAGCGTATGTTCACATAAGAAGTTTTGGCAGGAAGCGCAGCGCCCAACAGTTGTCTGTTTACACTCCTGGAGCCAAGGACTGGGCCCACAACAGAACAATGCTGATTTGTTAGGAGGACTCTAAGCGGCTCTTCATGTCCAAATACGCGCTGGCACACAAGGACAGACGCTGAATAGAGAGCACACACACATGCGCATCCACACCGGATCAGACATCAATACATATCCAGAGTGTTAATATTCCGGAACAGCGGGCAAAGCTCTTAGGGATGCCTGAAAGCAATAATCAATTTTATTCAGATAGCTGCCTGTGGGATGCGTGTCACACTAGGGACGGCGTTTCAAGTTAAAAGAGAGGCCGATGGCTAGAGCAAAAAAAAAAAAAAACAAGGTTCATCCAAAAACGGGTGATCTAATGTGCTGGTTATGCTCTGATTAAAGGATTAGGCTACCTAAAAATAAAACGTCTGTCATCGTTTACTCACCCTTATGTCGGTCCGATGCCGTATGCTGATATTTTTAACACAGCAGATGTGTTAAAAATATGACGAGTCTAAACACTAACCTTTTTTTATAGTGAGCACATCAGACAAACTCCAAAAAGGACCAGAGAAAACACTGGAAAACCTAATAAAAGTAGATAATGCGACTTGTAAAGTCATGCAGTGGGTTTGTGTGAGGTACAGGCAAAAAGTTCAGAATTATTTGTAAAAGAAAAATACTCATAAATACTTACAAAAGGCGAGTTAACCAGTTGCAATATTCTGAAGGGTGATGACATTAGACAGCTGCAGTGGAGGGCAAATGTATTTACATTTATGCATTTGGCAGATGCTTTTATCCGAAGTGTATATTTTAAGTTCATGTTGATGAACTGAACCCTTGACCTTGGTGTTGCTAGCATCATGCTACACTGTTTGAGATACAGGAATGCAATTATAAATAAATAAGGGTTACACAAAGTGTAATGTCATATGGACAACTTTGTTTTTTTGTCCTTTTCAGCAATGGAACTGTTTATGTGTAGAGTGAAAAAAACTTCCACATTTCTCCTGTCCACAGAAAAATATCAGAAAAATTGACTTTCGTTTGTTTCATTTGGGTGAACTACACCTTTAAG